TTTGGATGAAGGAATGGAAGGGTGGATTAGTAAGTTCGCGGACGATACGAAGGTGGGTCGAGTTGCGGACAGTGCGGAGGGCTGTTCTAGGTTACAAAGGGACATTGATAGGATGCAGAGCTGGGCTGAGAAGTGGCAGATGGAGTTTAACCCTGAAAAGTGTGAGGTGATTCATTTTGGAAGGACAAACTTGAAAGTAGAATACAGGGTTAAAGGAAAGATTCTTGGCAGTGTGGAGGAGCAGAGGGATCTTGGGGTTCATGTCCACAGTTCCCTGAAAGCTGCCACCCAGGTGGATAGAGTTGTTAAGAAGGCGTATGGTGTGTTAGCTTTCATTAATAGAGGGATTGAGTTCAAGAACCGTGAAGTTATGCTCCAGCTATACAAAAGCCTGGTTCGGCCACAGCTGGAGTATTGTGTCCAGTTCTGGTCACCTCATTACAGGAAAGATGTGGAGGTGTTGGAAAAGGTGCAGAGGAGATTTACCAGGATGTTGCCTGGAATGGAGGGAAGGCCTTACGAGGAAAGGTTGAGAGAGCTAGGGCTTTTCTCTTTAGAACGACGAAGGATGAGAGGTGACTTGATAGAGGTGTACAAAATCATCTGAGGTATAGATAGAGTGGACAGCCAGAGACTTTTTCCCCGGGTGGAGGTAGCTATTACGAGGGGGCATAGTTTTCAAGTGAGTGGAGGTAGATATCGGGGAGACGTCAGAGGTAGGTTCTTTACTCAGAGACTGGTTGGGGTGCGGAATGCATTGCTGGAGAGGGTAGTGGAGTCGGCCTCGTTAGGGGCACTTAAGAGGCTATTAGATAGGCATATGGATGATAGTATAAGGTAGGGATGGAGGTTAGATAGACCTTAGGTTTAGGGTAAAAGTTCGGCACAACATCGTGGGCCGAAGGGCCTGTACTATGCAGTACTGTTCTATGTTCCATGTTCTAAAGGGAATAGGGATAACCCTGGGAATTACAGACCAGTCAGTCTTACTTCTGTGGTGGGCAAATTATTGGAGAGGATTCTGAGAGTCGGTATTTATGATTATTTGGGAAAGCATAGTTTGATTAGAGATAGTCAGCATGGCTTTGTGAAGAACAAAAACAAAGTTGCTGGAAAAGCTGAGCAGGTCTGTCAGCATCTGTGAAGGAGAAAACAGAGTTAACATTTTGGGTCCGGTGACCCTTCCTCAGAACTGAAGGGCAGGTCAACCCTCACAAGCCTTATTGAATTCTTTGAGGATGTGACAAAACACATCGATGAAGGTAGAGCAGTGGATGTGGTGTATATGGATTTTAGCAAGGCATTTGATAAGGTTCCCCATGGTAGGCTCATTCAGAAAGTAGGGAGGCATGGGATTCAGGGAAATTTGGTTGTCTGGAAACAAAGCTGGCTGTCCAATAGAAGACAGAGGGTGGTAGTAGATGGAAAGTATTCAGCCTGGAGCTTGGTGACCAGGGGTGTTCCACAGGGATCTGTTCTGGGTCCTCTGCTCTTCGTGATCTTTATAAATGACTTGGATGAGGAAGTGGAAGGGTGGGTTAGTAAGTTTGCTGATGACATGAAGGTTGGTGGAGTCGTGGATCGTGTGGAGGGCTGTTGTAAGTTGCAACGGGACATTGACAGGATGCAGAGCTGGGCAAAGAAGTGGCAGATGGAATTCAACCCAGAAAAGTGTGAAGTGATTCATTTTGGAAGGTCAGATTTGAATGCAGAATACAAGGTTAATGGCAGGATTCTCGGCAGTGTGGAGGAACAGAGGGATCTTGGGCCCCACGTCCATAGATCCCTCAAAGTTGCTATCTGAGCTGATAGGGCTGTTAAGAAGGCGTATGGTGTGTTGGCTTTCATTGGCAGGGGAATTGAGTTTAAGAGCTGCGAGGTTATGCTGCAGCTCTATAAAACTCTGGTTAGACCACACTTGGAATATTCAGTTCTGGTCGCCTCATTATAGGAAGAATGTGGAAGCTTTAGAGAGGATGCAGAGAAGATTTACCAGGATGCTGCCTGGACTGGAGGGCAGGTCTTGTGAGGAAAGGTTGAGGGAGCTAGGGCTTTTTTCATTGGAGCGAAGGAGGATGAGAGGTGACTTGATAGAGGTGTACAAGATGATGAGAGGCATAGATAGAGTGGATAGTCAGAGACTTTTTCCCAGGGCAGAAATGACTATCACAAGGGGACATAATTTTAAGGTAATTGGAGGAAGGTATAGGGGAGATGTCAGAGGTAGGTTCTTTACACAGAGAGTGGTGGGTGTGTGGAATGCGCCGCTGGCAGTGGTAGTGGAGTCAGATACATTAGGGACGTTTACGCGACTCTTGGATAGGCACGTGGATGATAGTAAAATGAAGGGTATGCAGGGTAGATTGATCTTAGTAGGATAATAGGTCGGCACAACATCACGGGCTGAAGGGCCTGTACTGTGCTGTACTGTTCTATGTTCTGTTTACTGCAGAATTCCTAGCGTCTGACCCACTCTGGTAGTCACAGTATTTATGTGGCTACTCCAGTTCAGTTTCTGCATTCACCCACTACATTTCTTGCCCAAAACCTTAAAACTGTGTTCCATGTCAGCTAATGGGCACAACTTTTCTTTGTCCACCTTATCTAAACCTGTTACAAACTTAGACATGTCTATCAATTTCCTTTGCTCTACGGAAAACAATTCCAACTTATCCAATCTAACCTGGTAGATCATACTTCACCCCAGGGTCAATTCTGTTAAATCTCTACTGCAGCCCTCACATCCTTTCTCAGCAGGAACTGCACACACTGACAAATTATGAACTAAACAGAGCTTCATAAAGATTAAGCAAAACTTCCAGCTCTTGTACCCAATTCCTCCTGTTTAGGAAGCGTAATTCTCTTCTGGCTTACTACTCAGGCTCTGAGACATTATCCTCTCACCATCCTGTGAGCTAACTGGATACAAGCTTGGCAGGATGATCAAACACTTAGAGTTATGGAGATTTACAGCATGGAAACAGACCCTTTGGTCCAACTTAGCCATGCCGACCAGATATCCCAAATTAATCTAGTCCCCTTGGCCCATATTCCACTAAACTTCTCCATGCGTGTAACCATCCAGATGTCTTTTAAATGTTGTAATTGTCTCCACCACTTCCTCCGGCAGCTTATTCCATACACGCACCACCATCTGTGTGAAAAGTTGCCCCTCAGGTAACTTTTAAATCTTGCCCCTCTCACCTTAAATCTCTGCCCTCTAGTTTTGGACTCCCCTACCCTGGGGCAAAGTCCTTGGCTATCCATGCCTCTCATGATTTTGTAAACCTCGATAAGGTCACCTCTCAGCCTCTGACACTCCTAAGAAAAAAGCCCCAGTCTATTTGGCCTGTCCCCATAGTTCAAACCCTCTAACCCTGGCAACATCCTTGTAAATCTTTCCTGAATCCTTTCAAGCTTCCTAGAGCAGGGAAACCAGAATAGAATGCATGATTCCAAAAGAGGCCTAAGCAATGTCCTGTACAGCCGCAGCATGACCTCCTAACTCCTATACTCAATGCACTGACGAGTGTACCAAATGCCAAATTCACTCCCCTGTCTACCTGCAACTCCACTTTCAAGGAATTATGGAAATCTTTGATTATGGGGCCAGGGGATAGTGTGGAGGGGGATACTGGTGACTGAGAGTGGGGCTGAGAGGTTTTGGAGACTAGGGGGTGGGGGGTGATTGGTTGGTGGGTGGAGGGAGGGATTGCCAACCATATGAAGGAGTGGATAGGAGGTGGTTGGGACAAGGGAGGTGGTTGATGACCATTAGGAAAGAGGGGAAATGATGTAAGTCACCACAGGTCCCCTGGTGCATGTGCTCACACAAAAAAGAGCTAACTATGAAGTTTAGTCTGCCCTAGAAATAAGGGACAAAGGGGACATGGGACAAAGAGTATTTTATAAAGAAGAGGAAAATCTCTTAAATTGCAGGATGGTTGGTCATCCAGGATCTGACCATGATTCACATACTCACTGAGTCACTCAGTGTTGGAGTAGTGGACGTCTATAGTTGTACATTTTGAATGAATATTTTACTATTGGACAGTGCCTCCTGGAACATTGATACAAAAATTAAAATACACGGGCAGTGAAATAAGCTACATGGGTGGTAATAAGTGAAGAAATATGAGGCAGAATATTGTGTCTCTTCCCTATGCAAAGTTAGGTAGCACCTTCTTGATAGTGGCAAGGAGAAAAAAGGTAAACTTGCATTTGTGTTAGCACCTTTGAAGACCCAGGACATCTCAAAGTGATTTACAGTCATTTAGGTACCGTTAATTTGCCACGTTCTCGAGATTGCAGTCGTCTTGTTTATTCATTCATGGGATGTGGGCATTGTTGGCTAGGCCAGCATTTATTGCCCACAGAGGACGTTTGAGAATCAGCCACGTTACTGTGGGTCTGGAGTCACGTGTAGGCCAGACCAGGTAAGGATGCAAAATTTTCTTCTCTAAAGGACACTAGTGAACCAGATGGATTTTTACTAGTGTATAAATTTAGAATTTTATTGAATGCATGGTGCGATTTGAAGCTATGTTGCCAGAGCAATAGTCTGGTTGCTAGACTAGTGACATTACTACTACATCACCATCTCTTCTAATTATTACAGTTATATCCCACGTGACCAGATAATCTCTTTTTACATGTGTTGATTGAGGGATAGGTATTGATTAGGACACTGGGGAAAAACTTGCTTACTCTCATCAAAATTGTGAGAATGAGTCATTTTGACCCCACCCGAAAGAAGTCCCTTTCGAAATGGCAGAACCTCTGATAGTGCAGCACTGCCCTGGATTGTCGGTGTAAATGTTTCTGATCAAGTCCTTTTTGGCTGAGAAGATGAAATTGTAACCAAATTCAACACAATGTTAAATGTGATACTTTTAAAAAAAATTTAACATAAAATCCTCATGTTATCTTTGTTCAGTTGATTACTCCACCTCTGACTTCAGCTGGTTTCTTGACTTTTTTCTGACCTTTTGATTTTGCAGATAACTTTGAGAAGGTGGAGGAAAATGCCATGGAATGTGGTGAAGGGACGAATGGAGAAGGGAATCCAATCAATCTCTCCTCCATTCAGGTGAGAGACAACTCCCGGAAGCCCTTTGGGATTCTCTACATCTGCGCCATAGACCATGGATTGAGCAGATTCAAGACAGAAATCAATCGGCTTCTGGAGGCTAGTGACAATAAGAAATGTCATAGAATTCCTACAGTGTGGAAAGAGGCCTTTTGTCCCATCAAAAGAGCATCCCACCCAGATGTAGCTCCCCTCCCCTACCCCCACATCCTATTCCTGCGTTTACCATGGCTGATCCACCTAGCCTACACACTACGGGGTAATTTAGCATGGCCTATCCTCCTAACCTGCACGTCTTTGGACTGTGGGAGGAAACCAGAGCACCCGGAGGAAACCCACGCTGACACAGTCCACACAGATAGTCACAAGAGTGTGGGATTGAACCTGGGTCCCTGGTGCTGTGAGGCAGCAGTGCTAACCATTGCTAACATGCCACCCTTGGAGACAGCCCCATGGCTGAGGAGATGATCAGCCATGATTTAGAATGGTAGGGTAGGCTCAACTCACTGAATGGCCTGTGTTGCAAACACCTGCTCCATGGAGTTATACATGAAGGGATTGCATCCTCTGGGGATGCCAGGGTTGTGGGTCTGATGGAGAAAACAGGGTGAGCTCTTGGAATTGGTTTGTTGGGAGGTTGGGGTGAATCCAGGTAATTGTTGGGGTGAGACGAACTGAGATGGGAGAGAGAATCCAGGAACAAAGAAGGCACAGAGGGGATGACTCAGTCTGGGCCTGAGATGTCCTTAGAAACACTTTCCATGTGGAGCAGGACTTCTTGTTTGATTACCCCAATGGATGAGCTCCAGGCAGTTTCAGGAACTTTATTTTATTTATTTGGATGCTTGGTACAGAATATTTGCATCTATTCAATGAGAATATGAAATGAAAGGAAAAGTACTTGGTTTTTGTGGCGTTAGGAAGCATTGTTGCCTTTGAAATGTAGAAAAGGCAGTGACTAATTTGTGTACAGCAAGCCGTCAAAGCCTCATTGCTTGAGGGATAAATATTTTCCAGACCACCAGCATAATTGCTTAGTCCTTTTTCAAAATAGTACAATGGGATATGTTATTTCCAGCTGAGAGCCCTTTTTCTTTATTCTTTCAATGGATGAGGGTATCACTGGTTAGGGCAGCATTTATTGCCCATCCTTAATTGCCCAGAAGGCAGTTCAGAGTCAACCACATTGCTGTGGGTCTGGAGTCATGTGTAGGCCAGACCAGGTAAAGATGGCAGTTTCCTTCCCTAAAGGACATTAGTGAACCAGATGGGTTTTTCTGACAATTGACAATGGATTCACAGTCATCATTAGATTTTTAATCCCAGATATTTATTGAATTCAAATTCCACCATCTGCCATGGCAGGATTCAAACCCGGGTCCCCAGAACATTATCTGGGTCTCTGGATTAACAGTCCAGCGATAATACCACTAGGCCATCACCTCCCCAAGGCTCTTAATTTTAAAATCCTGCTTCAAAGATTTAGCCTGAATACCGTCAACAATATTGTTTTCTTTCACATTTTGATTTGTGACTACATGTTTCTTTTAGTAATGTACTCCATGCCTTAATCTATGATCGGAAAAAAAAGCACCAGAAGTTGACATTTTAATTATTCAAATATTTTGCTAAGTGTGCAGACAAAACAAAACTGAAATTGCAAACACTGTCACCATATTCCATCTAATAGAATGCGTTTGATGCTCAGCAGTTTATATTTTAGACTTTTTTTTAAACTTGCGTTCACGGGTTGTTCCAACATTTTTTTCCCCATCCCTAATTGCCCAGAGGGCAGTTAAGAGTCAACCACATTGCCATGGGTCAGGAGTTACATGTAGGCCAGACCAGGTAAAGATGGCCGATTTCTTTCTCCTGAAGGACATTAGTGAAACAGATGGGTTTTTGCAACAATTCACACTGGTTACATGGTCACCATTTTCTTGGGCGTTAACTTTAACAGGGGGCATCAACTTAAATGCAAGTTAAGGTACTTTGCCATTAGGCCAGCTCTCTCTTCTAGCATTTTGTTGAAATCCACATTTCACTGTATGCCATGGTGGTATTTGAAGACATGTCCCAGAACATTAGCCTGAGGTTCCGGTTTAATAGTCCAGTGACATTACCACTATGCAACTATCTCCCCTAGATAGGCATGCAAGGGAGCAAAAGACCTTCCGAGGGGCTTCACCGCTGAGCACCTAATATGATAGGGAGGTGAAGTGACAACAGTGGATGTATTCAGAGACTCCGTTGAAGGGACGGGAGATAAGTTGGGGAAGGTAGATGGATTTAGGAAAATAAAAACCGAAAGAACCGCGGACGTTGTAAATCAGGAACAAAAACAGAAGTTGCTGAAAAAGCTCATCAGGCCTGGCAGCATCTGTGAAAGAAAAAAACAGAGTTAACATTTTGGGTCCGGTGATCCTTCCTCAGACCTGTTCTGAGGAAGGGTCACCGGACCTGAAACATTAACTCTTTTTTTTTCTTCTTCACTAATGCTGCCAGACCGAATTTAGGAAAATGTTTCATAGTGCACGGTATTGACGGCTTATTCTTTTGTCTGTAGTAAATCTGTAGGAAGTAAGGGTGGGAACAGCTGTAGGAGAATAGAGTCAGGAAAATGGGAGGAATGGAATGGAGTGTTTTGTGGAGGAAGGATTTGAGATTGATCTACACAAGTGTCATACTTGACTTTTGGGGATTTTTAATGTTCTTCCTGTTAGCGACTTTGATTCTTGTGCCTTAAATCTCTCACAATAGTCGGTGATTTGGAAACACAGGAAGGTGGGTGGGGGGAGAAGGCCATTTATCTCCTTGACCCCGATCTGTCTCAATCATTGATGCTGTAGAGTCATAGTCATAGAGATGTACATCACAGAAACAAGACCCTTCAGTCCAATTTGTCCTTGCTGACCAGATGTTCTAAATTAATCTAGTCCTATTTGGTCCATATCCCTCTAAGCCCTTCCTATTCATGTACTCATCCAGATGCCTTTTAAATGCCTCCCCTACTTCCTCTGGCAGCTCATTCCATACACACACCACCCTCTGCGTGGAAAAAGTTACCCCTCAGATCCTTTTTAACTCTTATCCCTCTCACCTTAAACCTATGCCCTCTAGTTTTGGACTCCCCTACCCTGGGGAAAAGACCTTGTCTATTCACCCTATCCATGCCCCTCACAATTTTCTCAACTTCTATAAGGTCACCTCTCAGCCTCCAAACACGCCAAAGAAAATAGCACCAGCCTATTCGGCCTCTCCCTATAGCTCAAACCCTCCAATCCTGGCAACATTCTTGTAAATCTTTTCTGAGTCCTTTCAAGTTTAACAACATCTTTCCTAGGCTGTTCTATGACTTATCTCCATATACCACTCCTCATACAGATATAGCAAGAACTGCAGATGCTGAAGTTGGAGTCAG